GTATTAAGAGTAACTAAATTGAATTGGCTAAAACATTCCATCCATAACAACAAAACTATTAAATATTGAGGAATAAATTAAACATGGGGCTCATATAAAGGAAACTGTAAAGACAATAACATAAGGGAGCTGTGGAGCTATAGACGACAAAAGTTTTTACATACCCTTGAAACTAAAATTGTATTAATTTGACTAAGATTGTTGCAATTTAAGATGCTAATTGTAATCCCCAGAGAAACACTAAGAAAAAACTAAAAAATATATAGTAAAAGAAACAAGAAGGGAATCAAAATGGTAAACTATAAAGCATCTAATCCAAAAGAAGGTAGTAATGGCGGAATTAAGGAACAACAAGAGTATGACATATAGAAAACAAACAGCAAAGTGGCAGAAGTAAGTTCTTTCTTATCAGTAATTACATTAAACAGATTAAACTCTCCAATCAAAAAGCAGAGAATGTAAGATAGATTTAAAAAACAAACAAACAAAAAAACATGATCCAGGGCCCACCAGGTGGCACAGTGGTTAAGTTTGTGTGCTCTGCTTCAGCAGCCCAGGGTTCACCGCTTTGGATCCCAGGCATGGACCTATGCACTGCTTGTCAAGCCATGCTGTGGCAGGTGTCCCACATGTAAAATAAAGGAAGATGAGCATAGATGTTAGCTCAGGGCTAATCTTCCTCAGGAGGAAAAAAAAACCATGATCCAACTATATTCTATCTAAAAGAGACTCTCTTTGGATCCAAGGGCACAAAAAGGTTGAAAGTGAAAGGATGGAAAAAGATATGCCAGGCAAAAGACACCAAAAAATATCTAGAGTGGCTATACTAATTATCAGACAAAATGGACTTTAAGACAAAAATTGTCACAAGAGACAAAGACATCCTATAATGATAAAAGGATCAATATATCAAGAATATATAATAATTATAAACATATATGCATGTAACAAGACCTCCAAAATAAATTAAGCAAAAACTGACAGAAATGATGGGAGAAACAGGAGGTTCAACAATAATAGTTGGAGACTTCAATATCCCATTTTCAATCACCAGTAGATCAACTAGACAAAAGATAAACAAGGAATTGGAAGATTTGAACGCCATTATACAGCAACCAGACCTAGCAGACATTTACAGAACACTCCACCCAACAACAGTAGAATAGCATTCTCCTCAAGTGCTCATAGAACATTCTCCAGGATATTCCATATATTAGGCCCCCAAACAAGTCTCAATAAATTGAAAAAGATCGAGATCATAAAGTATCTCCTCTGGCCACAATGGAATGATAATAAAAATATATATTAATAGTGGAATATTAATAACAATTTATCATCAATGGAAGGAAATCTTGAAAATTTACCAAATTATGGAACTAAACAACACACTTTCAAACAACTAATGGGTCAAAGAAGAAGTTACAAGGAAAATTAGAAAATACTTTGATATGATTGCAAACAAAAGCACAACATACCAAAACTGGTAGGATGCAGCAAAAGCAGTGCTCACAGGGAAATTTATTACTGTAAATGCCTACATTAAAAAAGAAGAACTATCTATCTCAAATTAATAACCTTACACCTCAAGAAACTAGAAAAATAAGAGCAAACTAAACATAAAGCAAGCAGAAAGAGAGAAATAATGAAGATTAGAGCAGAGATGAATGAAATAGAAAATAGAAAAACAACAGATCAATAGAACCAAAAGCTGGTTCCTTAAAAAGACCAACAAAATTGAAAAACCTTTAGCTAGACTGAACAAGTAAAGAGAGAGAAGACTGAAATTACTAAAATCAGAAATGAAGGTGGGGAACTTATGAAATAATAAGGATCATATGAGAATACTATGAACAGTTGTATACCAATATATTAGATAACCTAGATGAAATGGGCAAATTCCTAGAAACATACAAACTGCCAAAGCTGACTGAAGAAGTAATAGAGGGACCAGCCCCGTGGCCGAGTGGTTAAGTTCGCGTGCTCCTGTTTGGTGGCCCAGAGTTTCCCTGGTTCAGGTCCTGGGCGTGGATATGGCACCACTCACAAGGCCACGCTGAGGCAGCATCCTACATGCCACAACTAGAAGGACCCACAACTAAAATAGACAACTATGTACCAGGGGGTTGGGGGAGAAAAAGCAGAAAAAAAAAAGAGGATTGGCAACAGTTGTTAGCTCAGGTGGCAATCTTTAAAAAAAAAAAAGGGAAGTAATAGAAAATCTGAATAGATTTAAAAAGTAAAGAGATTGAATCAGTAATCAAAAAACTTCCAATAAAAAAAAGTCGAGGACTTCATTGGTGAATTTTATGAAGCATTAGAGGAGAACTGACATCAATCCTTTACATTCTTCCCAGAAATAAGAGAGAAAGGAACGCTTCCTAATTCATTCTTTGAAGCCAGTATTACCATGACACTGAAGCCGGACGAAGACACCATAAGAAAAGAAAACTAAAGATCAATACCAAGTACGAGTAAGATGCAAAAATCTTCAACAAAATATTAGGAAATCAAGGCCAAAAGCATATTAAAATGATTATATTCCACGACCTACTGAGATTTATCCCAGGAATCCAAGACAGTATCAACGTATGAAAATCAATGTAATATACTATATTAATAGAAAAAAGGGAGAAAAAAATCACATGATTATCTCAATTGATACAGAAAAAGAATTTGACAAAATCTTACACCCTTTCATAACAAAAAATATTCAATAAACTGGGAATGGAAGGGAATTTCTCAAACTGATAAAGGGCAGCTATGAAAAACCCACAACTAACATCATACTTATTGGTGAAAGACTGAAAGTTTTTTCTCTAAGATGAAGAATAAGACAAAGATATCTGTTTTCATCACTGCTATTCAAAATCGTACTGGAAGTTTTAGCCAGGGCAGTTAAGCAAGAAAGCAAACTAAAATGTATCCACATTGGAAAGGAGGAAGTAAAACTCTCTATTTCCAGATGACACCATCTTACACACAGAAAATCCTAAAGAATCCACCAAAAAATCATTCGAGCTAATAAACTAATTCAACAAAGTTGCAACATATAAGATAAACACACAAAAATTCATTTATATTTCTATACACTAGCAATCGAAAATTCAAAAATAAAATTCAGAAAACAATTATATTGGGGCCAGCCCGGTGGCGTAGTGGTTAAGTTTGTCAGCTCGGCTTTGGTGGCCTGGGGTTCGAGGGTTTGGATCCTGGGTGTGGACCTACATACTGCTTGTCAAGCCTGCTGTGGCAGCGTCCCACATACAAAATAGAGTAAGATTGGCACAGATGTTAGCTCAGCAGCAATCTTCCTCAAGCAAAAATAGGAAGATTGGCAACAGATGTTAACTCAGGGCCAATCTTCCTCACCAAAAAACAACAAAGAGAAGAAAACAATTGTATTTATAGTAGCATCAAAAAAGAATAAAATACTTAGGAATAAATTAAACCAAGAAGATGCAAGACACTTAAAACTATAAAACATTGTTGAAAGAAATTAAAGGAGACCTAAATAAGTGGAAAGATAGTCTGTGTTCATGCATTGGAAGACTTAAGACTCTCCAAATTGATCTACAGATTCAATGCAATCCCTGTCAAAATTCCCACTCCCTTTCTTTACAGAAACAGACCAGCTAATCTTAAAGTTCATATGGAATTGCAAGGGTCCCAGAATAGCCAAAATAATCTTGAAGATGATAAAGTTAGAGAACGCAAACTTCTTCATTTCAAAAGTTACCACAAAACTACAGTAATCAAGACAGTGTGGTCCTGCATAAGGATAGATATGCAGATCAATGGATTAGATTGAGAGACCAAAAATAACTCTATATATCTATGTTCAACTGATTTTCAACAAGTGTACCAAGACTTTGGGGAAAGGATAGCCTCCTCAATAAGCAGTGCTGGGACAACTGGATAACCCCATGCAAAAAGGGAAGCTGGACTCTTACCTCACAACATATATGAATATTAAATCATAATTCATTGAAGTCCTAAATGTAAGAGATAAAACTATAAAACTCTTAGAAAACACAGGGGTAAATCTTCATCACCTTGTATCTGGCAATGGATTCTTAGCTATGACACCAAAGCACAAGCAACAAAAGAAAAAGTAGATAAATTAGACTTCATCAAAATTAAAAACTTTTGTGCACCAAAGAACATTATGAAGAGAGTGAAAAGACAACCTGCAGAATGAAAGAAAATATTTTCAAATCATATATCTGATAAGGATCTGGTGTCCAGAATATATAAAGAATTATGACAACTCAAGAACAAAAAGAAGTTGATTAAAAAGTGAGAAACGTAGTTGAATAGACATTCCTCCAAAGAAAGATATACAAATGCCCCAAAAGCACTTGAAAAGATGCTCAGCATCATTAGTCTTAGGGAAATGCAAATCATAACCACGAGATACCGCTTCACAGCAGGATGGCTATAATAAAAAATAAATGGAAAAAAAAAGCAAGCGTTGGTGAGGATGTGGAGACTGGTGGGAATGTAAAATAGAACAGCTGCTGTGGAAAACAGTTTGGTGGCTCCTCAAAAAGTTAAACACAGAATTACCATATGGCCCAGCAATTCCACTCCTAGGTATAAACCCCAAAGAACTGAAAACAGGTGTTCAAACAAACATTTGTACACAAATGCTCATAGCAGTGCTATTCACAATCACCAACGTGAAAACAATCAGAATCACCAATGTGTGAAAACAACTCAACTATCTGTCAATTTATGAATGCATAAACAAAACATGGTATATACACACAATGGAATATTATTCAGCCATAAAAAGGAATGAAGTACTGATACACGCTACAACACAGATGAAATATGTTAAGTGAAAGAAGCCAGACACAAAAGGCCATGTATTTTATGATTCTATTTATATGAAATGTCCAGGATAGGCAAATCCATAGAAACTAAAAGCAGCTTAGTGGTTTCCAGGGCCTGGGGTGAGGGAAAGGTAACGGGAAGTGACTGCTTAATGGGTACGGGGTTTCTTTGGGGGATGATGAAATTAGAATTAAAATTAGATGAAATTAGAAATTGGAATTAGGTAGTGGTGGTGGTTGTACACCATTGTGAATGTACTAAAAGCCACTGAATCGCACACTTTTAAGTGGTTAAATGGTCAATTTTATGTTATATGATTTTTATCTCAATTAATTTAAAAAGATACATAGAAACACACAAAACAGCTTTATATTTCTTTAGGTTCATGCATGTACTGTGTATGTAAGTGCATAGCTAATTGTCCAGGATACCCTCCAAGCTGGGAGCAGTAATCATGTCAGGGAGGAAACATTGATTGCCAAGGGAAATTTTAGTTTGAAATGTATAAATTACAAATACGTTATTTTTAATAGAAAATGTAAGTCAGTCTGTTCACTGTATAAAATCTGGAAGAATAGCTCTGGGAGCAAATTTCATGGGAAATTCACTATCTACCTTATTTGTTTCTGCATTATTTGAAATTTTAGCAACAGATGTACTATATTTATAATCAGGAAAAAAAAAATCAAGCAAGAAGGAGAGAATCGGAAGCTGGGGAGGGGAGCAGTAAGAAAGTAGAGACCGAGGTTTGTGATCTGTGAGAACTTGGATTCAGGGAGTTCATCTTACCCCTCCGCCCCGTCTGTTGCCACTTGATCAATAGCTGCAGAAGCGTGAATATAGAAGGGGCTGGCAAGTTCTTCCTGGAACCTCTAAGAAAAGGACAAAGCCAGGATACTCTGGCAACCAGCCAGGGAAGAGTGGGGACGGGGATCCACAAGGAACAGCGTGATCTGGCGTCCTGATCGTGGCAACCCGGCCTGCATGGACTGAGCCTCAGAGGGCTGGCCGCATCCACGGCCCCCTTCTGAGTGATCCCTTCTGCGGAATCCAGCATACTGGGCTGGGAATGGATGCCAGATGCCAGGACCAATGGTTTAATGCAGCAACGGAGGCCTTCGAGATAGCTGATCCCAGGGCTCTTCTCACTCAGATTGACAGTCGTTAAAGGAAGCAATAGGGTCCACTCTTGAGCACTTTTAACATGAGGCAAAGAGGTTGCTTGGTTGACAACAGGGCCAGAACCTGTAAGACACCAATGGACAGTACCATGGCAATTAGTACGAGTGATGGTATGAGGCCTCAAAAACACATAAACAGGAGCCACAGATAGTGCATGGCCTCTCAAGCAGTGGGATCCCAGCAAACCCTCATGCAGAAAAATGAGTGATAGCATGCTAGCTAAAACCAGAGCCAGAATAGCCTTCCGAATCCCAAAGGACTCCAGCATCTCTGCATACCCGCACCTGCAGTTCCAGTCCGAACTCTGAATCCCAGAAACGCCGCTCTCTGTGAGCTCCCAGGAGGCCTGGCTGCACAGTTTCATTCTTACAGCACAGCGGAGCAGATCCAGGTTTTGTGGGACCTGAAGCTTACATAATTTGGAAGGCCTACTTTGAGAAAAAGAATACAAAATTACAGACTTAAAATGAGGCATGTGAATATTTAGGATGAGTAAAGAAATCACAACGGATTGCAAATTTTTAAAAGTTGGCAAATACCAAAACATAATGTACATATTGGTTAACTGTCTCACCTGTATAACATTTTTCCTATGTTTTTTGCTCCATAACCTTTGATTATTTCTTCATATGATGATTTTGCAATATCATTTTCTATAGAAACTTGTTTATTATTGACACAGGGTGCATAAAACATACAGCTTCTCATCCCACCGTACACCCTGCTCAGACTAGTTCTGCGAGCTGGTGCCCCGCAATCACAAGAATTCCAATAAATTCTATTTCACAAAATTCACAACAAAAAAAGAAAAAAAGTATGGTGTGTTTATAACCGTCTCACTGCATTGTCAAGTATATTCCCGACAAGACAGAACTTCAATTTTAATCAGGCGTCAGTGAGAACAGAATCTTCCACTTACGGTTTTACGCGTCTGCTAACAGGAAGAATTTTCTACACACCAGCTCTTGTTACCGTACTTCTCAAACCCGGCTTTTCCTCTCCTGCCCACATACTTCTGGTGCCGGGCACTATAGGGCATGTTCGTATCACCGTTGCAGCACTTCTGTCCCCACATCTTCATACTGTGACAGGTGAGTGGAAGCGGAAACTGGAAAGCATAGCCCTGGAAGCCAGTTCCAGCAGAATGGCTAGTGAAAGTGTATCTAACCCCAGGGGGAACGGTGAGCCACATCAATCTATCCCAATTATCCTAAACTAAGTATAGTTCAACTCAGCTTCCCCCTAGTCATGTCCCAAAAGAGGCTATAGCCATTCCACGCTACCCAAGAGGAGAAGGGTGACAGAGGGAGTCAGACGGGGGAGACAGAGGCCCTCTCCAACTGCAGCTAAATTATCTCACTTTCACAAATTTTACACAAAAATATACTGCCCCATGAACACACTACTCAGGGCCCTCCCATGGGCTCTGACCCTGAAGCTTCCAGAAATCCAGCTACTAGCGATGAGTATTCTGAAGTAAAACCCCTTATGTGAAGGAAAGCTGCATGAATCTCTCTCTTCACTGCCACCAGCAGGAACAGAAATAAGTGACTGGAGGTGTAGAAAGAGAAAGACTTAAGACACGAGTTGGGTCTGAGAAATAAACCGAAAGCAAGAGATAATGGCAGGCCCCCGAAATGATGGGAATCAATAAAGAAGGTGACTGGTTAACCCATAAGGAGACACAAGCAAGAGAAGAGGAGAGAGAGATGTAGTTAAAATGTGGGTGCACAGGGCCTGATGAGGAGAGCCTTGTGTGCAGGTGGGCGGAGTCTAATGATAGGAGGTGACTAACAGTTGAGGGCGGGGCTAAAGACTAGGGTGGCCTAACTGATAGATGAGTGGACTTTAAAGACCAGGGCCATGGACACACAAAATGTGGGTAAGGCCCATACAGGAGGGATCTGCCCCCCAGATGATGAGCAGTGTCTGAAAGTGAGTGGGGGATTGAAAATAAGATGGATGGGCCTAGAAATGAAAGGGCAGGGCCACCTGGGCCAGGCCCCCTTTCCTCTCAGCACCAGAGGTGGGGATAGGAATGGGAGGGTACCCCCCTGAGCATCTTCTTGTTCTTCCCCTGATCAGTTAGAAAAGGCAGCCATAAAGATTCAGGCATGGTGGCGTGGCAACGTGGTGCGCCGGACGTTACTGCACGCGGCACTCAGGGCCTTGGTCATCCAGTGCTGGTGGAGGTCCGTGCAGGCCAAGACGCTGGAGCAAAGACGGCGCCTGGCTCTAAGAGTCTACACCTGCCAGGAGTGGGCCGTGGTGAAGGTGCAGGCACAGGTGCGAATGTGGCAGGCCCGCAGACGGTTTCTCCAGGCACGCCAAGCGGCCTGCGTCATCCAGTCTTACTGGCGCTGGCATGCCAGCCAAACCAGAGGCCTGATCCGGGGCTGCTATGAGGTCAGAGCCAGCCGGCTGGAGCTCGACATTGAAATCCTCATGACCTAGGTCACTGGCAGAGCCAAGGAGACTGGATCTCTCTTCCAATAAAGACATTTACTGACAACGATCTTGCCCCTTGGAAATTAGACCCCTGGAAGAGAGATCAGCCCTAACCTTCCTGCCTTCTACCCAAAAAAAGGTTCCCTGTCATGGTCTAGAGCCCATCCTAGGGCAACCTATCCTAGGCCCTTGCTCCTAATGCAAAGCTGACCAATCTTGCACCTAAAAGAGACCCCAGGGCCCAGGTCAGGCTCTGACACCTCAGCCAGCCTGATCTCAGCAACCTCCACAAGTAATGGTAGGCACTGGGCTTTGTTTTTATGCAGCCCTGCCTAGGTATCTCCATTCAGGATAGGACACCAGAGAATCTGGCTGCAGCCAGAGCCAGCTGGAAAGGCCAGGATTCCACAGGCCTGTGCTTGGCAGAGTCCTTGGGGCCAGAACAGCACTTGGCAGGGAGCCAGGAGGACAGGGCATCCCCAGTGAGCAACAGCAGGACTGTGTCTCACTGGGGGACAGCCAGCCAGAGCCAGCCCCTGGGGAAGGCCAGGGCAGGAGCTGAGGAGCAGCAGCTGTGCCTGCTGCCTCCCTCCCAGGGGCTGAGAGACAAGGCTTCCCTCTCCTTCGCTGGCCACTTCCTGGGAGATCCAGACATGGGGTAAGGGAGGGGAGAGGGAGCCAAGGGGGGGTCAGGAGTGGGTAAACAAGCAGAGGAGGACTAGGGGTGGGCAGGGGGAGGGGCTGTGCTTCTGCCATTGGAGGCCATTGGTTTGGGGATGCAGCCTCTAAATCCTACCACATCCTCAGAAGCGGCTGTGCTGGCCTCCCCCCAAGATCCCCTCTCTTTCTCCCAACCCTCCACAGACTGCCGCACCCCTGCCGGGCCTGCCTGGAGTGGGTGCTGAGGGGCCTCTGCTCTGCTGAGTCTCCCGTTACCTCTTGCATCTGTGGCTCAACTCTCTCTGTACGTGATCTCACAGTCTCTGCTTTGTCATCCATGTTCAAGGTTCCTCACTCTCACCCTGTGTCCCTCAGATGTTTGCCTCTGAAACTTCACCCCGGAAGCCTGAGCTCCATGACACTCCCCAGGATTTTGCAATGGGTGGCTTTGCACGAGGGATGGGAGGACCAGTTTGGGAGGTATACAGAAGTCACAGGTCTTCATGGGCCTTGCAGCTTGGTAAGGCTTTCCCTCACCCCAGGCCCCCTTGTGTGTGTGTGTGTGTGTGTGTGTGTGTGTGTATGTGTTTGGGGTTCCAGGGAGGGTGTCTCCAGAACAGCTGTGGCAGATGTAAGGATTCAGGGTTGAGGCTGACACCCATTACCTCTAGTAGCTACAGGTGGCAATAACACAGCAGGGGTACCTCGCTCTTCCAAGGGACCTCCTTCAGGAGCTTTGGGTACAGATCTCTCCTCCTGCTACTAGCAGCAATGAGTGGTAGGTAACTGGTTAGGTCTGCATGCTGAACATGATGGGAATTCTGCATGACTAGCCCTGTAGGTGCCACCCCTGCAGTGAGAGGAGTTTAAAACCTGTGCTGGCAAGGGTTTAAGTGTCTGGTTCTCAGCCCACATTGAATATTGGAATCCCCTTGGACACAAAAAATACTGATGCCTATGCCCATCCAGAGATTCTGCTTTAATCGGACTTGGGGAGGCGTGGGCATCAGAATTCAATATGTGTCCACAATTTGGACAGTGCTGAGTTAAGCCCTTCCCAGTCTAGGTTGTATGCCTCCCACTCAGCCTGTGTGGTCCCACCTGAGGATGGTCATGCAGAATTCCAATCTGAACACTCAGAGAGCTCAAAGTAATCAAAGCTGTTTGCTTTTTGATGAGCTAAGAATGCAAAGAGAAACAGGGATCCGGAAGAAGAGCCACTTTGAGTCAAAAACCTTTGGAAGCAGGAAGACAAAACCCCTCCTGTTAGCTGGGGGCTGGGATGGAGAGAGGCTGTTGGGAGGAATGTGGGTGGGGTCTCTTGTCCCAGGTAGACAGGATCCCAGGAAGATGGCACCACACAGGTGTGAGCAATGGAGTCTCAGGGGCCAGCCCGAGAAGGCCAAGCTTCATTCAAGGTCTTTACCAGCACGGTAGGTGTCCCTCCAATGGTCAGAGGTCTTGAAAAGCCAGAGATGGCCTGGACCTCTGGGTGTTGGGCATCAGAGATCCCCAGGCAGAGGAAGTGAAGGAGGCATAGGATGTGATTCAGGAGAGGGGCTCCCCTTTAATAGTGAGGTCTGTGGCTTGCCTAGTGTTGCCTGGATCAGTAGAGCCACCTTCCCCTCCTCAGTGGGGGTGAGGCTGTAGGTGGGGCTTTCAGAGGTATACATCTCAAACCCTTGCAGAACCTCACAGACCCTGCATTCTCTTCCCCAACATCATTGAGAATTGAGCTGCATAAGAAACTCTTCCTGAGAATACACTGAAACAATAGAAGTGGGAATGGGAGGAGCATGCTTGCAGCTTTGGGGCAGAAGTGCGCCTGAGAGCACTCCAGGGGACTCTGTATCCCCACTCTTTCTCCTCTCCCAGGTGACATTGTGTCCCCAAGGGATATGTGCCCTAGAAACAAAGAAATATACTGACCTTCAGACTGGACCAGCCTCCTGGGCCCCTAAGAAGATAGTTCAGTAAGCGAGGGCCCATCCTCTGCAGGTCCCTTCCAGCCCTGAAAAATGATTCCCAGATGGCATCTAGCTTCCTTGCCTCCAGGACACCCACCTCTTGCTCTCAAGCCCCTCACCTGATGCGTTACCAACCTCAGGTCTGATCCCACCACCACTCCATGTCCCCATCCTGCCTTGTCTTCTGTCTCTCTCTGTCCCACATGCCAAACCCAAAGTGAGATGGCCATAGCCACTGCCATGCCATGCCAGGCAGCTTGAGTGGGCCAACATCCCACTGACCACACAAAAACACATCTGACACGTTCCTGGAGGACACTGGCTCTGACCACCACCCCTCCTGACTCCCATCTCACCAGGTGGATGTTGCTTGGTGTAAAGAGTTCTTTGCTCAGCTTTGTTTCTAAAAATCGAGTTTGTTCAAGTCCACCACAAGTTAGCAGTCTGGAAGCTTATTATGTAGAAGAGCTAGAATGAGTTGAAAGGAAAAATTGTTTTCTTGGCCCTCCCAGCTGGGCTTTCATATCAAGTGTCAAGAACAAAGAACTTAGGATAGAGTGTGACTCTAAAGAGGATGACCATAGATTCTGAGAGTGAAAAGGGGTGTGGGACAGGGCAGGTAGAGAAAGTTTCAGCCACGCAGGAAGAGACAAAAGCCCATTCATGACCCTGAGACAGAGGACTTTGAGGGGGCTTGAGTACTGCTGCAGCCTGCTGCCAGATCCTGAGCTTAGCCTCTCCCCTCAGATCACCCCAATAGGCATAGAGGAATCTGAGAACATAACCCAGAGAGACCACATGGCACAAAGGTGAAAGGTTGTGAAAGTTGAGGGAGGTGCCAAAGTGGTGGGTCTGAGGGCTACCTCCATTGAGCCCTGTATACTCCCTTATGGGGCTGGGAAGTAGCCAAGAGTCCCTGGACCCCTAGGAAGGGGGAGGTAAAAGTGTCAAAAGGACTGATGGTCCCAAAGACATCTAGGACAGAGACAAGAAGGCACAGGCTGTGGGGAGCTCACCATTCAAGACCAAGGGAGAGACCACGGGCATCACAGAAGGTGTGTTTAGGTCTGTAAGTGGGCGACCCAAGTAGGTTCATCTGTTGGGGGTGGGCTGAGAACAACATGGCACCCACAAGAGCAGGCAGGCAGGGCCAGCTTCAAGAACCAGCCCAGGCAGGGAGAGTGGGAGGTATAAGTGAAAGATGACTGGCTGTGAGTTGATCATTGTTGAAGGTAGATGATGACTACTCTGTCTACTTCTGGATATGTTTGAAAATTTCCACAATAAAAACATGAAAAATAATTTTAGTATAAATAATAGAGGAATAAAAATTACTTAAATAAATTCCATAACAGTTAGGAACAATTGTGCTTGGCTCTTAGGACGAGAAACCTGAAAAACAGTAGCTTAAGCAAAATAGAAGTTTGATTTCTTCTCCCATAAATGAAGCCCAGCAATGGGAAGGCCATGATACGGCAGCTGCACAATGTCGACAGGTCATTTCTTCTTCTCTGTTTCCACACTGCACCCTGGGATGGGATCCTAGTCCTCATACTCTCAAGATGACTCCTAGAGTTCCAGCCATCATGTGTACACTTCAGGCAAGAAGAGGAAGGGCACAAAGAGAAACCACTTGTGCCAGCTGACTTCATTTCCTTTAAAGGCCTTTCCTAGAAGGCTCACTCACCTAGCCCCCTCCATTTATATTTCATCAG